AATTATTTGAACTTGCTTTTCTTCCGGGATGGTCGGATGACCTGGGTGCTTTTTGTTGTTTACGCTACCAGTAGCTGTAAATTTAGATACAAGTTCCCTTAAATATTTTCTACAGATAGGACGATTCGGGAAGTGATAATTAAAAATCCTTTCGGTCTCGTGAAAGTTACGCGTCGCACCATAAATAAAAATCGCATCGACTCTTTCTTCCAATGGACTAGAATTGACCATTTTAAAAATAGTTCAAACAGTATCTAGCACTAAAGCCGAAAACTAAATAAGAATATTTTAACTGTGATGACTTTTACAATGATGTTTGTTTTCGTACTGATATTTTTGTCACTGCCAACAAAAAATAACAAAACAAGTTTTTATCGCTGTTGCTGTCGATACGGCAGGGAATTACAATTATTTGGAGAGATATGCATGTTAGTAGGTCAAGGTATTGACTTTATATTCTAGGTCTAGGGTTATAAAGTACTCGCCAGGAGCTTCAAAATTCACAAGTCCCTCGTTTTCATATAATTTTTTTTCTACAATGGCGCCCAGCGGCCATCTTGACATTTTCATCTGTCAATTTTACTCTAAAATATGATATCTACGCATCAATTTCATTACCTCAAGTTTTAATTTTTTAATTGATCCGTTCAAAAAATCAAAGAGGAGGGGGACATTAAAGAAAAGCACTGTATAATTATGGCCTCCTGGATTCGCAAGGTATTTTTTCTCCTTCAGAAACGTTAGGGTATTTCTAGGTTTTTACTGTTCCGGGTCAGCGTCAGCGCTCTCCTATAGTGAGGTTATGTTGTCTTTTTAAATCTTAAGGAATTTTAGGATGATAAACATATGATAAAAATCAAGTTTTATCGGTCTGAAATATCTTAGAATAAATAAAAATAACCTCAAAATAGAGCGCTTACACACAACAGTAGAGATCTAAAAATACCCCTGACTTTTTGAAGGACAGGAAAAACTATGATAAAATCAAGACATCCTAATTGTAGCAACGGCTAATTTCTAACTACGTTTTCTGGGACCACGGTATTTATTATAAGAAACGCTATTAATAGGTAGCCCATTTATCGTGGAAAATATATTAATTATAATTCTAAATATTTTCATAGTTTTCTACTGTTCCCTGTCAGCGTTAAGGTTATGTTACATTTGTATCAAATTGTTCATGGTTTTAATTTCTCATCTATTACATCAGCCTGAAATTTCCTACAATTCAAAAATAAAACCGCCTCACACTAGAAGACCGATGACTCGGAACAGTAGAAATCTAGAAATACCCCAACCTTTCTGAAGGATAGAAAAGACTGAGAATCAAGGATGCCATAAAGGCTTGCTACAATTTATTGTAGTAACGACTAACTATATGGCCCTAAGACAGCCCAGTCACGCTGTATCTCGTCACGGAAAGTCTTGCCGGATTTCATCTCGGTGGATAGTGTTCTGCCCTCCAAACAACAATCCAGTTGCTGCGTGTTTTCTCTTTAACAGACCTGTTGCTCTTTTTTAACCTCCTTCTTCCTCCCTTTTTTAAATCTTCTTGTTTCGTTGACATTTTGTCTGGTTTTTGAGCGAGGAGGTCTAACTGACATTTTTATGTGTTATAACGAATAACGAATATTTACATCCACTTCTCGTTTAGTGCTTCTTAGCAATTGTCATTACGGTATAGGTCTATACATTGGAGACAGACAACGGAAAGCTGAAAAGCCTCTTAAAATCATAAAACAACATTTTGTGCGGCTGGAAAGCAAACAGATCCTATTTAGCACCGACAGTTATTATTTCAGTCCGTTGATTGAATTTGGAGAATAAACTTGTTATACCTTCTCTTTACCTTCATACCCCATAACGCTGCTGCATAAGTCATTAAACGGACTCAGTTTAACTCACTTACTTTTGTTATACCTACGTAGGATGTACGCTTGTCTGAGTGCCTGTCCAAGTGACGTTTTTACGGCTAATTCTTCGCGACAACAGTAACTCGACAGATCTATTTATATCCAGAAAGTGAAAAAGTCTCCCGTAGGGTCGGAAATGCCACTGACATGGTCGCTTTGAGTGGCAACTGTTGTAGACGAGGACATTTCGAGCACGAGCACATCAGCAGGGTACATTCGCCATGTTTGCACGGAAACGGTGTCGTTCTTTACTTTTAACGAAAGCTCGCCTGCTGGGAAATACGTACAGTACAGTGTTGAAAATAATGTGGAGAGTTAGAGTGAAAATAGTCCGACATGTCTTGCTTCACAGCAGAATATGGGGCAAAAATTCAGGGATAATTCTTCGAACTATTTACCAAAGTCACATTGTAGATTTGAAAAAGCCTCGGTGGCAGATGCTACAAATTGCGAATTGTTACTGGATACGAGGGATGCCTTTTAAGTTTTGATGTGTGAAATAAGTCTAAAAGACGCGTAGAATTATCGGGGGTCGGACCGTATAAATATACTAAGATCAAGAAGAATGCATATACCCTCCCCACCCTCCACAACTCCCAACTCGCAAATTTCGACCTATACAAATTTTTTTCTGAAAATGGTCAAGACCCTCAAATACGCCAAAAATCGAAGACTGATCGAATTTTCTTTTTTTTTTTTAAATCCGAGCGGTACTTCTCAAAATACGAGGGATGTCTTTTAAGTTTTGCATATGGAAATAAAACAACACGGTAGGTACTTTTAAACGACTTTATTGTTTTTCGAAGTATTCTCCACGAAGATTAGTACACATCTGCATGCGCTCGAACCAATTTTCGAAGCACTTATTCCACTCGTTTGCTGGCAGATCCAAAACGGCATTTTTGAATGCGTCAACTGCTTCTTCTGGTGACTGGAACCTTTGACTACGCAATCTGTTTTTAATCTTCAGGAAAGTAAAGAAATCGTTAGGACTTAGATCGGGATTATATGGAGGATGGTCCAATAATTCCACGTTTTCTTCCGTTAAATACTGCCTTGTTTTTTGGGCTGTGTGCGAGCTTGCATTGTCTTGGTGGAGGATGATTCTTCTTTCGGGGTTGATTTTTCGAAGCTCGGTGATGACTTTTGGCAAACAAATAGTTGTATACCAATCCGCAGTAACAGTTATTTGCTAATTAAGAGGAATTGTTGCAATATGACCCGCTTTTGACACAAATGTCGCGACCATCTTTTTCGAAACACTTCGTGAACGGATGACTTTTGTTGGCTTTTCTTCACCTTGGAACACCCAAACAGCCGACGTCGTTTATTTTCTGGTTCTTAACAGTAAATCCACGATTCATCACCACTAACAATGCTGTGCACTTTTTTTGAGTATCCGGAATTGAAACGGTCAAGTGTTTTTTGATACCAATTAACCCTGGCTGCTTTCTGCTCTTCAGTCAACAGGTGGGGTATCCAGCTAGAAACTAATTTTCTTACTCCTAATTCTTCATGTAAAATTTTTCCTTGAGATCTTCAAGGACGCCTCAATCTCGCGATATGTCACATGTCTATCTCAATGATGATTTTGCGCACAGCATCGACGTTTTCCTGGGTGACTGCCGTTTTTGGTGCACCCACCCTGGGATCGTCGCAAAGACTCATCCGTCCACATTTGAATTCTTCATACCAACTGGAAATTGTCGACTGATGTGGCGCTTCGTTGCCGAAAACAGACAGTAACTCAGCAAGGCATTCTTGTTGCGATAATTGTCTCTGAAAGTTGTAATAAATTATGGCGCGAAAATGTTCTCGGTTGAGTTCCATTTTTCTAATGACTTGGTGACACTTAAAAATTCACTGTAGTTAGAATACTGCACGTATTGTTGTGAAACTTTGAATTTAAGTTTACTAAAGAGTGAGGTTAAGATTCAGTACTGACGTTCGATCCGCGCGGCCTACTATGTTTCTATATGCAAAACTTAAAAGACATCCCTCGTATAAGTGATTATACGAGTAAAATTGGCGAACAGACCGACAGACAGACGAACAAAAATGAATGATGGTTTTTCGTGATTTATATGTAATACAACATAATACCTTTTCGCGATTACTACCTCACCAGACTTAGGAAGTCAAAATACGGCATTTTTAAAATTTTGTTGAAATTGTTACAGTATCTGGTTCTATTGTGAGTGTAACAAGTTTTCAGTTTCGTTTTTTCGTTTCAGTTTTCGAAAAGTACAGGGCTGCGTTCGTAAATTGTTGCAGGGTGTATACTCTGTAACAACTTTAGGGTATGTTTGACGTACCTGTTCCATGTGTTCGGAGCTTTCATGGTTCAATGTTTGCTTTATTTGGTTGTCAAAAAATGCTCAAAATATTTAGAATATTATATTTTCCACGATAAGCGGCCTACCCCGTATCAATAACGTTTTTTATAATAAATATAGTGGTCCCAGAAAACGTGGTTAGAAATTAGGGCCATATCGTCCTACAATTGTAGGATACCTTTATGGCCTCCATGATTTTCATAGTATTTTCTCTCCTTCAGAAAGGCTGGGGTATTTCTAGATTTCTACTGTTCCGTGTCAGCGTCAGTGCTCTCCTATTGTGAGGTTACTTTTCCTTTTGAATTTTAAGAAATTCAAAATGGAACGCTGATACGAAACAATAGAAATCTAGAATTACCCCTGCCTTTCTGAAGGACAGAAAAAACTATGAAAATCAAGGTCCTAAAGGCGTCCTACATTTGTAGGAACGACTGACTATACGGTCCTTAGTCGCCTGCCATCAAGTATCATTACATAACCCTGTTATAATTTTTGCGTTCTAAGAACAAAGTTTATATTACCAAGCGGTTTACAAACTCAAAGAATACTGATTGTCAACTTTGCATAAATGTCAACCCAAAAGTCCAGAATCTATAAACAGACACCGGTTCGTCCAGGCTGTAAGCTGGTTATTAAAACAGCAGTTTGGTTGGATACATTGAAACCATCGAATCTTAAACCCTTATCACCTAACAAAAGTGTACAATGATTTCAATAAATTGCAAGCTACCTATCCATAAGAGTAACTCACCTAAACGTCAGTGTAACTTGTCCAAATACTCTTCTGTCTTCTACGAATTCAGGATCCACCAACAGCACACCCTGCAGCTTATCAATACCACCTGCTGATACAACCAAGTCTCTAGAACTTAGGTATAATGTTAGCTTTTGATTGGGTGACACCTTCTTGAAGACTCTGCAACAAAGAGTAGTAAGAAGGACTATTATTAAAAGTAAATTCAAAATGTGATGACCAGTTCATCTTTTTATTTTTTCACATTGGTTTTTCATTGGTGAGTATGGAATACAAAAACAAACAACTCGTGAATCAAAAAAGCTTATAGACAATGGAAGTCCGAGAAACAACAGCTCAATTCACATTGTCATCAAGTTTCAAACAACAAATAACTTATGCTGTTGTTTGAAAAGCATAATCATTCTGTGGTGTACGTTATATTCAGAATATCGATTCACACTAAATAAGTTTGATGCAAAACATAAGAAAAGTGCCTTATTATACTTTTAACCTTAGATACTGACAGCCAGCATAGAAGGACTAACAATAACCTGCATTTAGTTATAGAAGGACATTTAACTGTATTGACATGCACGATTGACAACCTTAAGGATAAAATGTTTCATTGGCTCCAGTGTAAGACGATTTTGAAGATTATTATTAAACGAGAGCGGTATCCTGGGGGTCCTGACCCCCCAAATATTCGACTTTAAAAAAATTTAGAACGCGTTTTTCAATCCGCACACTTTTCATTATATGCCCCCTCCCCAAAACATTCTATACAGGGTTATCCAAATTAAGTGTCCACCATTAGTAACTTTGTTATTAGTGAAAATACAAAGTTGTTTGAATTAGCAAACTAGTAGCATTTTTAACGCTGGTAAAAATGAGAAATAAAAAAAAACAATTGAGAGTCGTTATTTTGATTTTTTTCAGTAAAATAACATTTTTTTAAATGGAAACCCCTGTATATTATATTTTTTTCTGTTAAAGCATCAAATTTTAAACAAAAAAGCTTACAATAACTTTTCTCCTAGGTTACAAATTGTTGAAGTTATGGCCTCCAATCTGAAACAATTAAATTGTATCGACAAACTTTATTTTCAACATCAACTTATAATCTTACAAAATACAATAACAATTTTTTTTAAAGAAGATGCTCGAAAACACCACCTTGTTCTTCAATACATTTTTGGGCACGTTTTTCAACTGCTCGAACTGTCTTAAGTATGGTCCTACCATCTATCTGGGTTATCTTTTCCCTAACTGCAGTCTTTAACGCGTCAAGGTTATCGTACCTTCGCTTGTAAATTTGGTTCTTTAAGTAACCCCACAAGAAGTAATCAAGTGGGTTTAGATCTGGTGATCTGGGAGGCCACTGTATTGGGCCATTTGTTCCTATCCACTGATCATTAAAAGTAGTACTTAGAAAATGATAAGTACCTCTGGAGTTGTGGGCAGGTGCGCCAGCTTGCTGAAAATGCAGATGATGTCTACTTATAAGATCCAATTCGTCTAAGAAATTAGTCAGAATTTCTGACATAAATTCCACATATCTTTCACCAGTTAGGGTTCCCTCATAAAAGAACGGGCCAACAATTTTTGAACCAATTATACCGCACCAAACGTTGAAACTGAAACGGACTTGTGGGCCTCTTGGATGTACTAACAAAAGATTTTCTCTTGACCAATAATGGTGGTTTTTTCTATTAAACATTCCAGAATTTGAAAAATTTGATTCATCTGTCCATAAAAGGTAACGAAAGTTATTTACATTTTGGCGACAGAAGCTAAGATACCAATGGCAAAAAACAAGTCTTCTCTCTGGATCCCCTGCCAAAAGCGTTTGAACTGGTCGGTACTTATACGGAATAAATTTGTATTTTTTTAAAATCCTTTGAACAGTACCATAACTGAAATTAGAGTCCTTGAGAATATCTGCTATTGAATTCTCACGATAAGCTTCAAAATATCCAATAACTGCAATTTCCGTGGCCTCGCTTATTATGAATTCTTTTTTTGCCCTTGTTTTAGCAAAAACATTTTCGTTGCCCCTAAATTTTCGATAAAGTCTCAGAAAATATCGTTCATACGGTTGAATGCGAGCGGGATATAATTCACTGGAGTATTCTCTTGCTCTCAAGGAGGATTTTCTGCACACTAAATAGCATTCTAGCATATCACACTTTTCTTCATGGGAGAAGATTTTTCTTTAAATTAATGACACAATAAAGCTTATAAACAAGTATTTACACTAATGTTTGACATTATTTGATTTTATCATTGTTTTCCAAAGCCTTCTAGTTGCGAGTATGTCCAGTTTAACAATTTGTCGCTTATCTAAATGCTGTCAAATCGCGAACGCCATGTTGTTTTCATAGCCGTCTTAATATTATAATACTGCAAATAATTAAAAATATTTATCGTTATTTTGACTTTATTTTTGACTTTAGCGGAAAAGTCATTATGAACTTTTTTGTTTAAAATTTGATGCTTTAACAGAAAAAATATAATATACAGGGGTTTCCATTTAAAAAAATGTTATTTTACTGAAAAAAATCAAAATAACGACTCTCAATTGTTTTTTTTTATTTCTCATTTTTACCAGCGTTAAAAATGCTACTAGTTTGCTAATTCAAACAACTTTGTATTTTCACTAATAACAAAGTTACTAATGGTGGACACTTAATTTGGATAACCCTGTAGATCCGCCCCTTTTATCAAAATTATTGGAGGGGGATGCCACAAAAATGTAAACAATTCTTCTGGACGCTGCTAGTTAACATTTCAAGGAACATCAGTTTTTTCGTGTGCCTATAGTGTGAAGACACAATATGCTAGCATGAAATACTTTTTCTGAATTGGATACTACTACTAAACCTATATTCAAGAACATCCCCTATATGAATGCAAATCAACAACTATTATTATACCCCTAATAAACTAATAACATCCAGGGTGGTCTGTTTCGGAATACCATTACCGTATCGGATTTGACCATAATTGCTGCTGTGGAAACAGATTAATTCATGCGGTTTTGTTGCGGTGATTAAACTTAATTAAGGTTGCATTTACTATATATACAATGGATACTTAATGACAGGTAGTGGAGGTGAATAGGGTAGATTGTTAGGGAGCATTTGGCGAAGATCAATTGGAAAGACTTACTTTGGAACTAGGGCAGGGGTAGACTTTTTGGAAAATTGAGAAAAGTCTGGGTGTAATTAAGAAAGCAAAATGTGGTAAAGGACCTTTTGAGTTGCGTATTGATATTAGAATTCAATTCCTCAATATACAAGAGTACAATTCAAGTTTTGCAATTCATCTTTGTTTATTGCCTTCGTTCACAGTAATTTCCACCACTTGCAATACACTTCTCCATCCGCCAAAACCAGTCCTAAAATCAAGTTTTACCTGGGAGTGCGGTACATTTGTCCTAAGAACTCAGAAGGTCCTCATCGTTAGAAAACCGTTTTCCTTTCAGCCTCATTTTCACATACGAAAACAGTGCAAAGTCGCAAGGAACAAGATCTGGACTGTAAAGAGGGTGCTCAGTCCAGTAGTGGTCACATACTCGGTGCAGGCTTTGGCGCAGTGAGCTGGAGCATTGCCATGCTGGAGGTACCAAGTGTTCATTCTTGACTTTGGCCGCAAGTTTTTCATAAACTCTATAACTTTAGACAGGCACTGTTCCATTTACCACTTAGCTGTGACTATCTTCTGGGTGTCCAAAACGGGATTCTCTAACAGCTACGGGTGTGTCCTCATCACCAAAGGCCCAAACTTTGTTTTGAACCTTGGTCGGCACATCGCAATGATAGAGCCAAGTCTGTCACGCTGCTGTTCACTTACCGAGATTGCCTCTTATCAAACATTTCCAGCATCTTTCGGCACCAAGTCGTGAGACGAGTCTTCTGCTCTTCCGTCAGATTATGCGGTACCCAGAGAGAACAAAGTTTGTTTACGTGTAAATCGTCATGCAGAATTGAACGAATTGCTGGTGCATGAAGGTGTAAGGGCTCTTCTATCTGTTGGTATGTCACTCTCCGGTCTTCGTCAAGCATTTTCATCACAGCAGTAATGTCTTCCTGTGTTACTGACGTTCGCGGCCTTCTTTCCCTCTCAGCGTCCTCCAGAGTGAAATTGCCCCTTTGAAATACTCTGTACCACCTGAATATAGCCGTACGATGAGGATAATCATTCTTTATTGTCAGTGTCATTTCTTCTAAGCACTGGTCTATGCTTAAACCACCCGTAGAGTTATACCTTAAAACTGCCCTTATCTCACTACGTGACCACGGTGCCATAGTCACCACTGTAATACGAATGCTGCTGGCGGCTACTATGCACTCATGGACATGTCTCAACATGCAGTAACATGTAGCCTCCTGAGTCCGTTTGTTAAGTCATATTGCAAAAGTTTGATAGAATCATTTTATATCGCAAAGCGATATGGCTTATTGTTCACACCCCGTTGCAGATAATTGGCAAAGTGATATACCGAGTTCTTAAGACTGTCTCAAGTGGACGCAATTTCTTCTGTTCCGCTGCACTTCCAATCAAAATACTTTTGGTGCAGTTTACTAGCTAGCAGGGTGCTAACAAGTAGGAGAATAAAGGTAAAAAGCATCAGATTATTCGAGTTTCAACCATTTTAAACAAACTCACATTAACGACTTTTTCGTATTCTACCCTTCGTGACTTGCTAATAACTCAATTTTAGCATAATATTTTTTACAATAATGAAGTAGTGTCTTGCGGAATGTTTTTCTGAGCGTAAAAAAAATGAGGAATTAAAATGAGTTAATTATGATTAAGTAGCTAAGAGCAAAATTCATTGATATTAATGTGGACCTAATGGATGAAACACTCAAAGAAGACTTGAAAACCTTAACGCTGTAGGACGTTGATCAGCTATTTTTTATTATTATTTCGCTTAGTTTGTGATATTTGTGCTCATGTAATTTAGGGGATCTGAATTTAAAAGGGATCTTTGACTATTCGTTTTATATTTCGTCCAAACCATATAACTCGTATGTATTTTGGGGAAACTTCTAAGCAAACCAAGTACAATAGGCTCATTGTGCTTAGATGAAATACAGACTCAGTATCAGGATCTAACAAAAACATTAGATTTACTTCACAAATACATTGATACTTTTGTTGCTGGAGTAAATTTAGCCTTTCGGTTTGTTCGTACTGTGGTCGGTGATAGTGTCTGGATCCGGCCTTGTAACATATGTCTATACAGGATGTTTCAGTTTATTGTTGCATAACTTTAAGATTCGATAGAACTTTTAAAATTAATGCATAAAGTCTATATAAACATGGGTCGAAAAATGCGTGGCTTCCGAAATTTACTTTCTTAAAATGGTTTTTTTAAATATTTCGAACAATATTTGATGTATAACAGTGAAAATTGGTATACAAGGGTTTCTTGGTACGACAAAACGAACCATGGGCATAGTTTTACTGTAGCCGCTAGAGGGCGCTCTCTACTGTACCTGTAGTGTATTAAAATGACCGAAAATTTTTACTTAGTGCAATTTTTTGCTTTTTGAATAAAAAAAATGATTCTTCGCACTTTTTAACATAAAAAAGCTCTTCTGTGAGTTTTCGTTATAGTTAGCCGTTTTTGAGATATTTCGATTTTTAAGGTTCGATGCATTTTTAATTATTTATGGGGAAATAATATTTTTTTTTTTACATTTTGATTTGACCATTACAAATAATTAATATGATCGTTTAGATTGTGTTTTTAAACTCAGCAATGATTCCTAACTCCAAATAAACACAAAAAAACAGAATATTAATTTGTTTAATTTTCCAATATTATTTTTAACAAATTAAATTAATTACTTACAACTAAAATGCTATTGGATAGTTAGGACAAACATACAAAATCTATAGTAGTTGCTCGAAATGTAAACTCAATTGTTCAATACACAATTCACATCTACGAATGATCGAACGTGGTATAGCATTATTCAAATAAGGCCTTATTTCATCACATGCATTCCTGATTCTGTCTATTAGCATATCTCTTGTGGTTACGGCAGTCTGGTACACTTTTTCTTTTAGAAATCCCCACACAAAGAAATCTAATGGATTTAGGTCAGGGGATCGTGGAGGCCAGGCGACTGGTCCTCCACGGCCGATTCATCTTTCTGGATAATTTTTGTCCAGCCAGTTTCTAACTATTCTCGAATAATGAGCTGGACAACCATCAAGCTGGAACCAGGCCAATGTTCTTAAATCTAACATAACATCATCCCACATATTTGCATGTTCAGCCTTTAAAAATTCCAAGAAGGTCGCAGCATTTAACCTTGCAGGTAAAAGGTAGGGTCCAAATAGTCGATTACGGTAGATACCAATCCACACGTTCACACTAAATTCATGCTGAAAATTTCTTTCCCGAACTGCATGCGGATTTTCATGCGACCAAATATGTTGATTATGAAAATTTATCACTCCACGTCTAGTGAAGCATGACTCATCGGTACATCAAACGTTACTTAAAAACTCCCTATTATTATCAGTTCTATCAAGAATCCACTGACAAAATGTGATTCTTCGTTCTCCGTCCCCTGGCTGTAGTCCTTGCACAGGTTGCAAATATGGTAAGGACGTCTATGGTCATTTCTAAGAACACGGTGAACATGGCTTGCTGAAACTCCCAAGGCACCAGAAACTCTCCTAACACTTGTGGTCGGATCTCTATCAAACTCACGCAGAATCATACGGGTAAATCTGCGCTGACGAACATTTATGTTTTGATCCCTTTGGAGATTTCCATAACCATTTTCAATTATTTGGCGATGCACTCTTACAAATACTGAGCGAGTTGGATATCGTCTGTTTGGAAATCTTCGTGCGTATTCTCTAGCTGCTTCTACTGCGTTTCCATTTACAAAGCCATACACAAAATGAATATCCGCTAACTCTTGATTAGAGAATAAAAATGGCATTTTTATAAAACTTACAAAAAAATATGTAAAAGAAACTAAATTTCGTGCATTCACAATTGCAAAAAAACGTTTCAGGTTTCAACAGACAACAAAACCAGCTGTCAACTAATTGACGTTTAACCTTATCCTGCTTTCAATTTAAAAAATATTTGCAGGCTCAGCCTACTTCTAAAAATTATCGAAATACTGACTTTTTAACGTTATTTTATCATAAATAATTAAAAATGCATCGAGCCTTAAAAATCGAAATATCTCAAAAACGGCTAACTATAACGAAAATTCACAAGAGAGCTTTTTTATGTTGAAAAGTGCAAAGAATCAGTTTTTTTATTCAAAAAGCAAAAAATTGCACTAAGAAAAATTTTTCGGTCATTTTAATACACTACAGATACACTAGAGAGCGCCCTCTACCGGCTACAGTAAAACTATGCCCATTGTTCGTTTTGTCGTACCAAAAAACCCCTTGTATACCAATTTTCACTGTTATACATCAAATATTGTTCGAAATATTTAAAAAAAACTATTTTAGAAAGTAAATTTCGGATGCACGCATTTTTCGACCCATGTTTATATAAACTTTATGCATTAATTTTAAAAGTTCTATCGAATCTTAAAGTTATGCAACAATAAACTGAAACACCCTGTATACCGTAGCAGTATGAACGGAATTTGTGTGGCAGGACACGATCACGGCAGGTTGGCGTCGGCTGTACGATTGGGCTACCCTCATGCAATCTACAACTATAGAAATATTCGTAGGCTATGACCTACTACTTGGAGGGTGTTATGGCTTTGCTGATTGAATCAGAAAGCGAGGTAAAAGAGTAACATTTTGACGTCATAAAAACACATAATCCATCATGCAATATGTACCTTTACTGAAGCGTCAGGGAATTTCTTGATATATGAATTGATGGCACTGGTTGTTGGTCTTCGCTGACTGTTCACTGTATTCGGGCGAAAATAAACTTCGAAACATATGTATATACGATGTAAATCCCTATAAAGATAAAATGCTGTTCCAGCATTCATGTTCCACATACATGAAAAATTTGTAAGGTGTTGGATTACGTGAAATGTATGTGTATGCCTTCGATAAAGTACCATATGTGAAAAAGGGAGGTCTGTGAATAGAAAATATGAAATATATGTAATAACGCTAGACGATACGTTCTTCGACTTATTTCGTCATAGGAGAATATAATATTTACAGCAAATACTCCTCGCAACGCCTACTTTACTTTCTAAGCATGTGGAGAGCTATTGTAATATTAAAGCATTTTTCAACGTTTTGCGTAAAAAGGTAAAGAAAATATTGATATATGGTAAAAGTTGTTGAAGTGTTATGAAAGTGCTAAGTGTAACCTCTGTGAAACTTTTATTGTAATTGAAAATATTCTTTAAATGTTCTCCCAATCAGCTGTACCGTGATCAATATGTTGCTGTCTAAAAATGGATGTTGTCAGATGTCTTTAGTAGAAGCATGGATGAACTTTGAGATTGGAATGTGTAGAGGGTAGTCGATTAATAACTGTCTGATTAGTTTCCCTGACATCTTCAGAATGAAATTAAATATATATACAATTTTCAATCTTAATTTATTAAATGGAAAATTGGTGGTTATGCATGAGAAGTGGATTCATATAAATTTTCTCTTCTGGGAACTGCACACACCTGAGACTTGAAATAGACTTGCACCTTATATTATCAGGAATTGTTTGTCATATGTCATCTAGTTAAAAATTATAATTTAAACAAAATAAGGTAACATATCAAACAGTAATTAACGGAAGACTACTTATTTCAGGAAGTGATACGCAATGCTCATCCCCACTATACCGCAAAGTTATTACCTTAAGTAGTCATATTAATGAGTTTAAAAAGCAGAAGATTACAGTCATCAAACCTGGAGTGGTCCTACACTGACGAGAAAGAAGGAAAATAAAAATGGATGCTGTGAGATGCCGATTATATATCACAGTCGGGATATTATATTTCCCATTACATTTCCTAAGGACGAGCGTGTTTCGTTTTCATTTATATTTATATTCGGAGGGCAGCTGTCGGTGTGTATTAGGCGAAAGGTTCCTCCTGCCGCTGTTACTCGTTGTAAATGAATTACATTATCTACAGACTAGAAATGCCACTAATATTGATTAAGCCGAATTCCGAATATCGAATATTTGTTCACGCTCTTGGTCGGATTCGGCGGCCGAATATTAGGCGCCTTTAATTGATACATTTCGCGGGAGGCAGTGTAATTGCAGTGCGTATGACGACAGCGCCCGGAGCGTATTTGTGGTAATGCAAATGATATTGCATTTAATGGAGAATTATAGACCTCTTGCTTTGTGCTCCTCTTTTTCTAAATTACTGGAATATGAATTTTTGGATCGACTACTGAAGTTTGTTGGGGAAAACAAGCTAACTAACGACCGGCAGCATGGTTTTCAGGCTAATAAATCCACAAACTCTGCTATCCATACATTTTATGATGAAGTCTTTCACTTCGCTGATTCAGGAGAGAGACCTATTGAGATCTTCTGTAACATCAGCAGGGCTTTTGACTGTATCGAACAAGATACTCTTCTGAATAGGCTAGCGTGTTATGGCTTACAAAACAGCCTTTAGAATGGTTGCCGACGTTCCTCACAAACAGAAAGCATTTAAACTCTGGTGGTATTAGTGTTAACTCTGGGATTGAAGAATGTTTGATGTGTGTCGCACAGGGGACAATTCTAGGCCCTGTTTTATTTTTGCTTTGTGTAAACGAATTACCTAATATTGTACCTGATGCATGATAACTTCATTCGCAGATGATAGTTTCTGGTTCTTATGAGAAACAGTTACAAGACAATATTATAGATATTTGACTGTCTAGGCTGCATAACTTTTTTTCAAATAATAATTTAGGATATTACCCTGATAGCACGAAATATTCATTAAATATTCATTTAATATTTAATAATATTTTTATCTTACTTAAATATTTGTTTTCTTAAACAATTATTTAATAAATATTTGTAATATAATATTTTTATTAAATATTTATTCAATTCGTTTAAATATTTTAAATACAATATTTCTTTCATAATATTCATTCAATATTTATTTTTCAATCACTGGAAAATATTAAATCTCCAATATTTAGAAAATATTCATTAAATATTTTTGGCTTCGGCGCATGTGCCTGTGACTTCGAGCGACCAATTAGATAATAGCAAGTCGGCCTGAGACAGCAGCCATTTTACCTGTGACTTTCACTATGATAGCGTGCTTCCTGTGTATCTCCAAGTGGTTCATTATTTGAGGGAAAAGGGTAAGTTTTTCGATAATTACATAGCTTAACTTATCTGACTAGAAAACATTATTGTGCCAGCTGAGTATAATAGTATTCATAAGACCATAAATAACTAGCCTTGAAGTGTACTACTAAAAATAGGTCGCATTTCAACAAAATCAATAAGTGTTAGTCAAAGGATCAAGTTGTGCCCATGGACATTTTTCATTAAGATATCTAAAATCATATACCAAATTTTCTTAAAAATTAACCAAATCTCGAACTATCATAGGGATAACATGTGTGGTCCTTTTAGGTGCATTACAGAGCTGCTTTTCAGTGACACAGTTGAGCTAGTCGGAGTAACTCACCATACTCAGCACCAATAAATACACTGGAAAGCAGCGTATGTATTCAATAATACTTCATAATCAGTAAGTTTTTTTTTTCAGAGGAGTAGATTTGCAACATGCTGAAGAGGCTTAGAATGTTTTTTTTGATATTTTTCTAGTAAATTAAACCATTATATCTAGAATGAATTTTCTTTATAAACCCAATTTTATATAAATATTCCTACAGGTTTTGCTAAAATAACCAATGAAGAATTTACCATCTACACTGAAAATATGTATCAGATTAATGCTTGACAATCCATACATGTTTACGAAAAATATTAGATATTTCATCAAAAGATAAAATTGATAAACCTTTCCTCATATATTTTCTAAATATTTGGAAGAAATATCGCAAAAATTAATGAATTAACTTCGAAGTTGAGTCATTTATTTTAACAGTGAGTAGATCTGATCAAAAGAAATGTTTTTTTCCTTTACCATTTTTCTGGTAAAATTAAAGTAACAAAGTTATAGCCCTATGGAAGTTTGAGTAGCGCCCTGTCTCAATAATAATATTATGTGCTCGTGTTTGGCGACAACGGATATAATTCGCCTTATCGGTTCATCGCATCGGAAACAAAAAAGCGAAAGAATTTGGAACGATGTTTTTACAATTATTTCATTCAGTTGTATACAGTCAGTGTCAGTCGGTAGTGGATAGTGGTGTCTGTTGCGTGGCTCAAACGAAATAAAAAATGGCACATGTTTATGCGGATCGGTTTCCCAATCGAGTGCAACCAACCCCTCGTGCCTTTGTTAATGTAGTACAACGGGTTCGTGAATCATTTGACTTAAGACCTCACATATGGACGGCATGCCGGTGCTCCAAGACCTCACGATCAAATACAGGTCCGCACTGAAATACTTGTCGGGAGGATACTTTATAAAACAAGGTAAAATTTTTTTTTTTATTTTTTTTTTATTTTTACACACATATTTTGGTTTATCTTCCTTCTACAATCATTATCTGAAAATTAATGACTCAACTTCAAAGTCACCCTGTATATACTAGAAACATCTATAATGAATATTTTATAAATATATAAGAAATATATTTATTAAATATTAAAAAATCTGTCGTTACAAATATTTAACGAACATTTTTTTTAAATATTTAATAAATATTTAATGCTATCGGGGTAGATTTCACACAAGGCAAAAAATTGCAACGAACTAAGTTTCTAATTGAAATATTAATATCAATGATGTAAAATACATAAAGTTCCTTGGTGTGTACTTGGATTCATGTATGGCGTGGAAGCACTACTGTGACTATGTTATACCGGGGCTTAATTCATTACACAGGGTCCGGCACAAAGGACCGATGTTTTTGAAATGACTATTACTCTCCACCTATTCGGGCGATAGTGGTGGGGAGAGTACCTTTCGACTCGGGCGTTCCTAGCATTTTTACCAGTAGACATTGTAGGGCAGTGGACGGTAGGACACCGCGTTTTGTCCGACATAATGAGTCTATCACGGCTTTCCAGCGTGAGTTTCGTTGCTACTTCAATATTCGTCGGAATCGCACTGTTCCCTCTCGAAACACCATCCTTCGTTGGGCTGAGTGACTTCGCACATGTGGTGTACTGATCCACAAAAGACCACCAGGAGCTTCACGAATGGTTCGAACACCTGGAAATGTGGAACGCGTTGGATAAGCCCCCCTTTGCAGTCTGGCTCGAACTGCTCGGCAACATGCTGCTGAACTTCTCCACAGTGGTCGTTCGGTAAGGCGTATTTCGCATATGGAACTCCACTTTCAGCCCTACAAACTGGCCATTGTGCAACAGTTACAACCTGGATATTACGCACAACGAATGAACTTCGCACGTGAGATGGAAGCACTTATCGAGCAAAATGAGAACCTCATTTTGTTCTCGAGTTCACTTTCATCTTTATGACATGATTAATCAGCAGAAAATCCGTTATTGGGCTAATAAAAATCCGCAACAGTTATATGAAAGACCGCTACATACCCCAAATGTGACGGTTTTGTGCGCTGTATCGTAAACCTGCCTCTTCGAAGACGGTAATGGCAATGCTGCGATCGCCCACACATCCAGAGCAACGAAGAACGTTATTCGCCCTATCTTCCCAGATTTATTCTTCTGCGATTTTTTTCTATGAGGACACCTCAA